TACATCTATGGAAATAACTAGTGTAGTTCCAGCTAATACACATACAAAAATTTGTACAAAAGATGCAACTGATCTTAATAATCCAGAGAATAGTATTGAACTCTCACAGTGTGAATATAATATTGCAAAGCAAGATGAAAAAACTAAATTATTAAATACATCTATGGAAATAACTAGTGTAGTTCCAACTAGTACACATACAAAAATTTGTACAAAAGATACAACTGATCTTAATAATTCAGAGAACAGTATTAAAAAATTAAGAATTAATCCAGTTTATGAAACATTAGCAAATCTTAGTAGAACTAAAATGTATTATAATGAATCAATGGAATTCACCACAGCTGTAACAACTTTACCAAAAATAGGAGCACCGGAGCATCAAAATAATTTACAGACAACTATACAAAATACCCCTTGCACTCAATCGAATTCAACTTCAATATTTGACAGTTGTAATAGTTATATATCATCAAACGAAACTATTACTTTTCGTAATAATTCTACATTTACAAACATATTATCACTTGATGTAAGGGACAATAGTGGAAAAGCAAGAATAACAGACTGTGACACAAATATAAATGAAAATAAAGCTATAGTAACAACGCAATCACAAACTGAAATAAATTCAGATACAGATTCCATTAAAATTAGACAATCAGTATTATCTGATAATATTCAAAATAGAGATCTTGCAGATTTTACAATTTGTACAGATAATGTCTTGAAAAATATTACTACTTCAATAGCAATTCCTTGTACATTAAGTTCAGAAACTGTTTCAGAAGAAGAAAAATTTACAGATAAAGAAAATAATTTTTCGAAAAACGTAGAAAATGATGTTCTGGATAAGTCCAGTTTAATTAAAGTTCAAAATTGTGTAAATATTACATCTAACTCAGTACAGCAAGATATTTTTGTCTCAGGTTTGAGAAAAAATAACACAGAGGTAGCTTGTACTACATTTAACTCTATATCAAATGATTTTTTTTCTGCTGTAAATTCAGAACTAAATAAAGATAAAGATAAACATACACAAATAATTACATCACATCCAAGAAGAACATATACAATTCAATCATTAGACTGTAATCATACTTTTACAATCAGTAATGAAGAAAATACTAATGTTTCACAAATTAATGATAATAATTTCGATATAAATAATCAAGAAACTAATATATTAAACAGTGAAAAATATCTACAAAATAATGAAAATTATAATGAAGAATGCCCAATTAATAAAAGTGATATAATTTTCAATGAAAATATAGAAATATTAGAATCAATTAAAACGCCATTATTTTATTGTTTGGATGATTTATCAGATATAGATCAATCTATAAACGTTAATTGTAATCAGGAAACTAATTGCTTTTCAAAAAATAGAAATGATGAACACGAAGATACTTCAAATCTCAATGATTATCAGGCGAATGTATTAGATGAAAATGTGCGAAAATCTTGCACATTTCTGATCAAATGTGGGTCTTCAAATTCAAAGCTTGAGCAAGTACAAGCAGATGAAATTCAGAAATTGGAATTGCTAAATGTGAGAGATACCAATACAAAGTCTCAAATTATAGTATGTTCATCTCCGATAATAAACGATACTGAAAAATTATCTCAGACGCTTGATGTTGAAGAAAATATTCAAGATTTATGCTTGAATAATTCTAATTTCGAAAATCAAAACATACAATGTTTATCAAATATAAAAGCTACTTGTGAAAATACTTTAAAAGTTAACGATGATGGCAAATCAGTTGATATAAATACGATGGAAATAAATAAAGACTCTTATGCAAATGAAGAATTGGAACTAAGTTTGAAAACTCATACTTGTATAGAAGGACATGTTGCGATCGAACTAAACTTATTCTCTTCTTTAATGAACGAATTGAAAGATTATACAAAAAGGTATTTGAATATATTTAATATTTTTTGTTATTTCATTAATGTCATATCAGATAATTCTTGCAATATTTTTTTAGTGACGAAATTATTTGGGAACTATACCATGAAAATATCGAAAAAAATATGTTTATTGCTGGTTTTATATCGTGTTCACTATTAGTGGTAATATTTATACGGGATTTTTGTGATGTAACAAATGATGAATTTATTAAAGAAATTAAATTAATTTCTCGTTTAGCAGGTAAGTTTAAAAAATAGATTAACGGAATAACTATTAATTTATATTTAATGCAGCTTGTATAAAAATATTTTGGTTTATCAGATGACGCGGATGTACTGATAAATATAGTTCACCGGATAATTTTAGAAAAGTTAGACGTAAAAAAGTTGTTAGATTTGTACAAAAGTCGTGAGGATATTTTATTGATGTTAGATTTCATTTCGAAGGAAGTAAAGCTAGCTATGGATTTTATGTTCGAATTGAAATGTTTGAATGATCTAAATTTGATGGAAATAACTCGTGATCGGTAAGAATCATAGGATTTATATAATTTTTATACTAGATGCAGTATGTGCATTTTTCTTTTATTTTAGAATATCTTTTGTATCGCAAACTAGAACGGGAAACATAATATTAGAGATTACGATTGATATCAAACCATTTGACAAGATTGAATCTCGGAATATCTCCGTTCATTGTCTTATGGGTTCCGTGAGGTCAGTTTCAAAAGTATTTAATGGACGATATAAAATATAAAGAATTACTTCACTTTAACTTAATTATTTTATAGGGAGGAAGATGTTAAAAAGTTGATAATGAATATAAAAAGGGATCATAAGTTTTTGCGAAAATATATAAACGATGTGAAAGATTATATATATTTAATGGAAGAATCTGTTATATGATTAAAAAATTATATTAACGCGGTCTCTATGAAGATACACCAATTAAAATGCAATAGTTAATTAATGGAATTTAATTCTAAATAACTGAATTAATTATATTGTAACGATTTTATATACGCTCATCATGCGGATGTATAATAAAATATTTTATGTTTTTCTAATTTAATGTTGTACAGATAATTAAATTACATGACGAAATTATCCCAATGTAATTAAATATTTTTTTATTTAGAACTCTACTAAATAAATATTTATTTATAGCTGCGATTCAAAAATGTTTTTTTTTCATGTATATAAAAGTAACAGAAACATAAAGTTACAAGAAAAGATTATAATTAACTAACTAAATAATTATAATTAACCGATGTCAATTATTTGTGTGCAATAATATCGTACAAACAACTGGCTTTCATAGAATTGTATTACTTTCTGCTTTATTTCTCGGAAGTAATCATTTGTGCATCAGTAGTCAGTTGGTGCATTTTCCATTAATATTAAAATTTGTATTAATGTTGGATATTAAAACTTTCTGAGAATTTTATTTGTTTCAATAATTTGGATCTTAAAACGAAGACAAAAACTATTTTAAACAGAACTTTAGATTTTTTTGTTGAAAAATATTATATTCTTTTAATAATTTTTACATTAGAAATTTTTGGTTATTTAATTTTCTAAAGAATTCTGGAAATTTTTGCACCGGGACGAAGGAATTAGTGAAACAGAGAAAGAAAAGATCTTGATAGAACGTAATATGATATAATGTTACAAGAATTATTCAGCAACATTAATTTTTGTTTATAAGAAACAAATTTCCATCTCAATATACACAAAAACATCATATACGTATTAACGTTATATTATACAAAAACTTGTTTATTAATATTAAAAAGGAAATTAATATTATTCGTGTATACCATATTTTACCATATTGGCATTCGTGTATACCATGTATATCAAATATTATTTTTCGATCAATACATTATAAACATATGGCTCGTTAAAGAAATCAAACTTTCTTTCACCGCAATTACGCCAGCCTTGCTCGCGTGGGTGTAAAGGCCCGGTTTTATATGATTTCGTAACAGCGATGGATTTCCAATATCAAAAAATACTTTGTGAAGATCTTGCAAAGCTTTCAGAAGGCCTTTTATTACATTGAAGCGAAGCATGATTGCATGTAAATATCTAATTGTGAAATTGCTAATGACCATGTTAAACAACCGAGAATGATAAATCTTAACGATGGACAAAAAATGATTAAAATATTAAATAAAGAAGAATTAAATTTGGTTAGGTTGTATGATATACGTAAACGTCAATCCTTCAATAATTAATATATTCAAATTGGAATTCTCTTTTCTCAAATCATGGCTATTTTTAGATTCTTCTTCCTGCGTTCCTATTTCTCAAATCTGTATACCAGGTCTTAATTTCGAAGAATGAATTCGAAACAAATTAAGAATTTTTAAGATTACAGAGAGGATCTTATTCGCCGCTCGATTTGGTGTGAGTACGCGCGCCGAATTCGATTTTGATCTATGAGTGAATTTGGTATCGTGGCTTAATTTCCAGTAGCTTTGGCCAGCAAATAAGAAAGATAAGATTGAAGGGCGACGTCAATGAAGCAGCGGGCAATGTGTTATAGAGTGACGTCGCGTCGGTTCGATGATACTTGCTCTGGACTATAAGTACGAGGCGGATAGCTGCTGGAGCAACAGCGGCAATAGTGTAAGTGGGCGTAAGAGCCGAGAGAGAGAACGTCGTCCCGTGTTCCATACATGGCTATGCTATGTGGAAACCGAGAGACACAGAGAGACGGACGCACCGGCGGAGTCCCCACCGTGTGGACACGGCGAAGGCGACGTTTTCTCGACACGAATGCCCACCGCATGTTTCGTGCACAGTGTGTGCTAGCAGGACGTCGTTGCACGATCGTTCTCCTTTTTTGTGTTTACAATAATACGATCGGTCGTTCAATTCGAAATTTCTCCATAAAAGACGAGACAGTATAATACGTCTGTACAATTGCAAGAGGAGAAAACTCGAGGCTTCAAACTAACCCGCATAGGAAGATGCACCCGCGAACACGTCACTGGCGTGGGTGTTGCCGTTCCTTTTGCCTATTTTGAATAAAAAAAGTGGCAGACAGCGTGGTCCAGAGCAGCCCAGTTTCGAAGTTGAAGCAGGTCCGCGCCTATGGCCGAGTGACAGTTCTTTCGGTTTAGCGAGCGTGCGATTGGTCCGCTTGTGCTTACTCTTAACGTTACGTGTGTTGCCTATGTGCAACAGTCAACGTGGGTTGGATGCGTAAGTGCGCCTGCGTGAGTGCTACGACGTACCAGCCGCGTGTACGTGTGCCGCGCGTGAAGAGAGCCACAGGGGCCACGAATCCCAGATCAAAGGGACATATATTATTATAGGTACGTGTATACGGGTAAGAACCTCTGACAATGAATTTTAGAGGTGGATAAATTCCTGCTTACCTCTGTTCCTTAGTATTCCTATTCTACTGAAAGAAATTAATTATTAGCGTTTTCTTTACACTTTTATTAATCTTAAGTGTATTATTTTCAAGATTTTTATATGTCTATTCGATTTTCAGTTTAGAATTCAGAATTAGAATTTTAGTTTAGAATCTACATTCATTCATTCATTCGAAATCATTCATTGAATTAAATTCATCGTCAATTTAATTCAATCAAGTGCAAGTGAATTATTATTTTATATGATTAAGAAAAAAGCGTTTAACATGTACCTTTAATTAAAATTTCAGTTAGTTTTGTAATTTTATTTAAAAATCTTCGAAGAATACTTCAATAAAATTTGAACATATATGCATCCACGCTTTACTATTGAATTTATTTATTATTCACCTTATGAAACTTTTTTTTTTACTCAATTAAATTATAGCATGTAAGTTTTATATTATAAAACTTGTTTGAAAATTTTTTTTTAAGATATTAGAATGCCTTTAGAGGAAACATATATTTTTCAAAATTTCGTGAATGGAAATTGTAACATAAACGTGATTATAAAGTTCTTTATTACGATATTCGTCATTATGTCTGTCTGGTGTTTTTCGATAATCGCTTTTAATATCCCGCGAAGACGAAAACCAGTTTCACGTCAAAAGACGGACATTGGTGAATCGTGATACAAAAGGAGGAAGGAATCGCTCAATCGATGATCATACTTCTTTCAACGACAACTTAGTGACAGAAAAATCACTGTCTTCGAACGTTATACAAGGCTGTTTATGTTTATCCCGGATTTTCCTTCTTGGGTTTATTTTAAACTTTGATTTTTCTCGATTGCTCAATAGCAAATAAACAGATAGGATTTTCAATGTGAAAAAAGCACTCGCACTTCTAACATCCACATCAACATCCCACGTTTTACCTGACAATTTTCTAGCATTTCCATTCTCTTTTTATCTCAGTGAAGGGTTTTTCGCAGAACAATCATGATCTTTTTCGTTTACTCTCATATTTCATGCTCGTTCTTTTTTAACAGTTTTTTCATTGTTAATTTCTCAATTTGGCCCTCTTCTTAGCGAGCGGCGTACGGTTCTCAAATTTTGCCAATTCAATGAACGTTTTCGCTCGAGGTGGCTCATATTTTAATATCTCGTCCATGATTTCCGACATAGCTAGTGGCTTGAATTTCAAACTGATCCTTCGTCGAAGATTTAGAACATTATCCACCGTGCTTCTTATGAATATCAACGGAATGCCCACGGACATCTTTGCCATCGTGGAAATGTCGATATCGCGATTAACTCCATGATACTTCATCAGCAGATCTTTGTAAAACATGTACAATGTGTTGTAGTCCGTGAGAGGAATCATTATGAACTTGTCGTGGATCCTGATGAAGGGTCTTGTTGCTTTATATGGCTCTGAGGAGGTCGTGAGAAATAGGATCTGGAAAATATTTTACGTATCGAACGATTGTATCGACATTCTCATTCAATTTTTTCGAAAGTAATCAGTAAATTATTTAGCACTATATTACTAACTATTAACTTTATATGTATACATTTTGCAATTTTTCATAAATGCGTAAAAATCTATAGTTTAGTAACCAGCCATTCAGTAATATATTATAAATTATAAAATGATTTCACGTAATGATTTCCTCTTTCTTATTCAAATTGTTAAATTTATCATAATGTCAAATATATCGTATAATTTTATATCGTATAAAATATTTTACGCCAATGAATAACAGTATCTATTCGGAATCACTAACACTCTAAATCCTACGTTAACTCGGTACCACCTACGTTCCGATGGTTCGGTAAGAGGTGTTCCATTGATGACCAGCTTCGAACGATCGAGACGTTTGGAAAAAAGAAAGAGGGGAAGCTGGCTTACTGAGGTGGTTCATTCATATCGGAGAAAAACTCGAAACAGGAGTATCAAGAATTTCATAAAGTGGGTGCCCCACCCACCACCAAATCACCAACATTTGACATTCCTCGCCAGTTTAGGTGAGACACTGCGCGTAAGCTTATTCGATTGTGAAATTAAAATACTCTCTTTCTTTTTTTCGTTTCGAGCAACAACGGATATAATACACGAATTATAATACACCAAATGAAATGTCAAAATAACTTTCTAGTTGATTTACCTGATCGCCACGTTTGATACTCTTTACTAATCTAGGATAGTATTGAGCAAATCGTTTTGGTTTCAGATGTCTGTCTTCTTCAGATAGCTTTCTCGACCAAAGTTTTTCACTGTTGTCAATAAAAATCACAGAAGGAGCGTATGCTCGAGCTATCTCGGAGATCTTGTTGATTAATTCGCGCTCGTTCTTTCGTCCCATATACTTGTCTACCAACACCGTGGGCGTCATATCGAATAGTAATGCTCCAACCTTTGGTTTAAATTTATTAGCTTATTAATTATTAACTAGTATCGATTTTGAAACGTTTTAGATATTATCGGGGTAAGAAAAAAAAAAAAAAATGAATAGAAACCTCGGAACAGATTGCGTTCACCAGAAAGTTCTTTCCGTGTTGAGCGAGACCATAGATACAAACAGCTCGGATTAAAGGTGCGACTTGATGAATTCCTCTCGAACTGAGAGGAAGCACGCAATAATCCATGACAGTCTGTCTAATTTCGCCTATTCGATGATTATAATTTCGTGCTTCGCGAGCTGCTTCGTAATTTTGATACGAAAGATCTCCTATCCAATCCTTGAGGAATGTTTTGGGATAATCTTTAATGATATTAGCTCTGACCAACTCTTTAAAATTATTTTCCACGCTTTCGTCGCTCGTCGGAACTCTCTTTTTCTTTCCTTCTCTAACTTTTCTTTCTATTAATAATGTAAAATGAGAATTTGATGATGAAAGAATAATAATTAATTTTAAATATGTCGATTTTTAGCAATAGAATTTTCAAGTTCTTGTCTATCTTCAATTAGAAATTACTAAAACTATAGAATCTACTGTCACGAGGCATGTGTGGTAATAGTTATGACAATGATTAATTATATTTTGATTAGTATCCTGTGTGCAATACGCTTTTTCATAGTACGATTTACTTCTCATTTTATTTAATTATTGAATTAAATTCATTTATATGTATTATATTAAATTTAATTTAAATATCTTACTTTTCTCGGCAGGTATAACAAGCGTTCGTTTATCAGCTTTATAGTCTTTCCTTAATGCTGCGTTCAATTTTTTCAATTCCAGCCTCATCAATTCGTCGACTATTTTCCTCATTTCTAATTGAAGTTCGTAACAAAGTTCATCCTTGATTAAATCATGGTATATTTGCTCTCGATATTCATTTGTACGATATCGAAAACTCCAATTATTAATAAAGTCCTGGTTAGCCTCGTTAAGAAGAGAGAACGTCTTTGTTTGTGACATCCATGGCTGTTTTTTTTCCTTGGTTTTCGCCCTCGTAGTTGTTGGTGCTTTTCCTGTTTGTTTCATCATTTTCTCCACCAGGTATTCCTGTGGTGTTAAAGTTTGTCCGGTAGTGATTAGCACGCTGCCACCTAAACGTGCAACTGGATACGCATCGAAGTGTCCTACATCATTGTACCATATTATGAACCATTCTCGAATCTCATCAGTAATATCCTCCATCAAACCGGGACCTCTGATTTTCCACAGCTGAAACGATAAATAATAATTTAGTTCATTTGCGATTATTACAAATTGTAATATTGTAGCAAATATCAATAAAATAAATATATCAGAGATTTTAATAAATTCTCGAGTATCGATGTTGAAATGTCTTCATTAACCCGCAAATAAATATTTCTTTGCATATTTTTATTCTATAAAACTACATAAGTGACTTTATCTTTTAACACTGATGCATTCCACGATTTTGTTATTGTTGAAAAATTTCTTAAATTTGAAAAAAATTTTTATTTTATTATTTCAATTCTTTCTATATATTGAAATGAAAATGATATTAAGACATAAGTATTAAGTAAATTTAATTGTCATAAATTTTTTCAGTAAGTTTTCGTTATAGCGATTATAACGATTATTATAGCATTATTCGTTATAGCATTATAGCGTACAATAAAATAAAAAATTTATCATTTATAATAATGACTCAGTTTTCGTCAAATGCAGATGAAATTCAGATATTAATTTAAAAAATATTACTCTTGCTCGCTCCTTTTCTGTCACCTTCATGATTTCGTTAGCAAATCTCGGCATTAATGTTAATTTCTTTTGAAAATTTTCTCTATCTTTCTTAAAAACATCTTGAGATTTCCAACTAGGTATTGTCATGCCTAATAATTCTTCCGTACGTTCGATTCGATTTCTCATTTTCTTTCTCGCTGCGTATATTCTCCAGGTTCTCTGTATGGTTTTAGCAGCATTTTCGTACGTACTTTTGTGCAATTTTTTCACTGTGGTGAGTCCCATTTGTATCTTCTTGTTGTAATTGTACATTCGTTGTGCTACGTTATCAAGATATTTTTATGAAAACAGTTAACGCTACTAAAGAGCAATTTGTTTGTAAACGTTTTACCATCGATTCCAGCGCAACGACCTATTCTTGCTCTTTCGTGGGACTGAATGAGCAATATCGCTGCTCGCATTTCTTGTTCAGCAATTTCTCGAGATGTTCGAATCCTTTTTTGTACAGGCAACGATTCCGAAATTTTTTCTCTAACTCTCTTTTTCCGCAATCTTAGTGCGCTTTCCTGCGATTCGGACGCCTCTGTTATGTCCATCACAGAAAGTTCTTTGCTTTCAATTTCTTCGGCTACTATTCAAAATAAACAGAAAATAATGCTTTTGGTTTTGATACATATTTTCACATATTATTTGAGCTATTTAAACTTCTCATAAATGCATAAATATCTGCGGTTTACTTATTAAAACCGAATAATTCTATAACTTTTATAAGCATCTTTCATCAATTTTTGAATACGTTCTCTACGGTGTTCCATGATGTCTTTACTCGATGCGGACAAAAGAATTTCTACATCGTCTGGTGTGTATTTTAATTGAGTCATAAAGTCATCAGGCCATCTGAACAGTTGATATTAATATTTAATATATTTCTTCTGAAATGTGAACGTTCTAAAATGATATTACTAACTGATAATCACTGCAGTCCAAGTTAACGATCTCTTTCTTGTATTCCAGCATTCGACCAACCGCACAATCCAGAACCCGTTTTATCAAGTCTCGTTTCTGCGTCTGAACCATTTGATTGTGACAAATTATCAATCTTTTCACCAAATTACGATATCTGAAAATGTACATCCATGAACTTCTGCAATTTACATGTAATGAAATTACATTTTTTATAATTGGATCAACACCTGAGATACATTGGAAGCAATAAATTCAACCCATCTTGTCTATCATGTGTACGTTCTTGCTGTTGCAGTTTTCGATCCAATTCTATTAACTTGTCCAAGTCGTTTCGCGTGATAAGCCATAAATCCGTGTAATAAGCATAGGACATTGATTGTGGACGGTTTCGCTGACAACTTTGTGTTATACAAATTTCTTATTAGATTATTGATTGTTCATGTTGGATGGTAAATTTTAAGTTTTTGAGATGGTCGGAAACTAAATAAATTGGGTTAATTGAGGTGGACGGTGATACTGGAAATGACACGATAAAGTTACAGGACGAAATTCAGTCGACACTTGTTGCGCCATTATTCATACTCATTTATTTTCTATATAAATATCATGCAGAGTGTCCTAACATCAGAATTGTGGGGGGCGGGATGATTTTATATAAAAAATTGAATCGGACATAAAGAAAAAAATTTTTTCATTCGAGGATTTGTTTCCGAGAAAATCGTGCTCGAAAATTTATTAGGAATTTATCTAATTCCTAATAATGGTAGAAAAATATGATGAACACGAGGTTATTTTATGTATAAGTAAACAATGTGTGTATTCTGTATAAAATGAATCAAATTTTTTGTATGTATAATTAATGTGCAATATGTATATAAATATTCTATGTATAAAAATGAATCAAATTTTTTTATACTATGTTTTCGAGAAAATCGAGTTTGGAAACTTATCAAGATAATTTTTAATGAAATTCGAAGTCTATTTTCTTGAATATGAACACTTTTGTAAACATAATTATGTGAATTTTTCGAAATAATTTTATTTCAGAATGCTGTGGACGCCTCGATGTTCCCTAATTTTATTGTTGGCAATGATAGCGTCTTGCATGGACGCAATGATAAGTGATTTCCTGGAAGATGAAACGACCATCAATACGATCTCGACTACCTTGGCGTCGATGGTCATGACAACATCTAGTTTAAGTAAAGCCGAGAAAACGATGGTTAATTCATCAAACACTGTAAAAAGCCAGGACGAAAAAAATGTTCAAGACCCGTCCCACGCATTCTCGCCTTCGTCTGATATGGTTTGGGAGTGTCCAAATATTACAAAAGCGGGCGTTGAGTGTTCCTGTGACTTTCCACACACATTAAGATGCACCGGTGATAGAACAGCACTGCAGGTAATTTTTCTGTAATATTTATTTCGTAATATTTTATCTTATATATGTATAAGTAGACAAAATGAATTGAAAAATCATTTATTTAGCAACAATTAGCATACATGTTTAATTAAATGCGAAAGTCAAATTTGAAAGTTCGGTTGCTTCCTCAAAATTTATGTTTTTATCGTGTTATAATTATATCACTTTTTTTTATATCTTTTAGAAAACATTTGTTGCGACACATAATAATCAAATTCATTATTTTTCTATATTATCGAAGTCAGCTGCTTTTTTTTTAACTATTTGCTAAGCGAGCGTGGGTCTAGCGGGTGGTATAGTCTACCAATGAAATACAAGCTGTTGTATTTTTCTAAGAAACTATTGTGATTGTGCGCTCTTTTCTACCTCATATACGTGCTCGCTATTTTGTTGTTGAATGTTCCGTTACCAGTTACTTTGATGAATATTCTGTCTCACAATATCTCCGTGAATCAAATGACCCTTGTTAATTAAATTTTTAACGCGAGATGAATTGAATTCTTCGTTTGAATAATTGCAAATGTTGCTATATATGTTACTATACTATAGAATTGTGTCACAATCCTCAGTTTAAATGCCACATTACTTAATTGAAATGTTATTTATGTAGATTATCAGTCAACACTTAAGGTTCAGCCGTCCGGGAACGATCTCTTTACTAGATATAACAGTGACGGGAATCTCTATGCTACCAGCTCGCTTTCTGGAGAATGTTGCCTTGCATGGATTCGTTGTTTCTACCGGCGAATTGAGACGCGTTCATGAAAATGCTTTTATTGGTCTTGTAACACCTCTTCAAGCTCTTGGACTTCCGAACAATTTATTAGATTCTGTACCTACTGCAGCTTTGTCGCATTTAATCGGCTTAGAAAGATTGGATCTGTCTCAGAATAAATTAAAGACATTGGAGGCTGAGTCTTTTAAGGTAAAATTTCAAAACTTTTTATCCAAATGTCCATTATCAAATTATCAAATGAAATAGAAATTAATCATAAAATTTAAGCCTGCTAC